AAATGTCTCGGAAATGGCTCGTCTCCCTAGACTCAAATCGTGTGAACCTAAACAACACCAAAAAGACAAGAAAAGTACGCCGAACCACAAGAACACAAAACGAAAGCAAAAATACACGAAACACGATAAAATGGACCGATCGACGCTAAAACGAACCTAAAATCACTCAACTAAAACACATAAAACACACGAAAATAAGCACAAAAACACAATAGACAACTCCCCCACACTTAGCTTTTTGCTTGTCCTCAAGCAAACAAAATAATAAGTAGTTCGAAAAGAAATGTCGAATGGTCCAAGGTTAACAGTCATGCGAAAATGAGACTCTCCTTATCATCCGGTAAACCAAAGAATCGAACTCAAATTCGAAAACATGTTCCCCACGAAATGAATTCATACAAAACAAAAACCCGTCCCGAGTTATCCTACACATGATTTCTCGATCTAAGCTTTCTCTTTCTACATACACGTGCAAAAAGCTATAGATGGTCTACTAAACATATAAACATCATAAGCATGAAACCAATAAGCCAACTCCCATTCTTCTTTTTCTCTTTTTTTTTTTTCTTTCTTTTTTTTCTTTTTTTTTTTTTTTTTTTTTTTTTTTTATTATTATTATTATTTGCGCAGGCATCATCATAATGGTAGATGGGAAGCCAGGATTGGTAGGGTGTTAGGCAACAAATACCTCTACCTTGGAACATATGGTAAGCATGATTTTATTAAATCAGGTACTTATTTAATTATTTCATGACGTAGTTTAAATACTTGAATATAATGGCATCTCAATTTATTATCCAAGTTATAAATGAAATAATTTCACGGGTTGTTTGGTTTTGGTTGATGAACCACAACTCAACTTTAAACATCACGAGGTGTGACCCCATATATATCTACTCTAGGACAAAATTTGTGATTTAGGCCACTAATCTTATTTAATTTAAAGTACTCTAAAGTAACAGAATCAAGATCTTTGAAACCAACATTAAGCATCAAATCACATTAGGTAATTAGTTTCAAAATATTTTATTAGTACATCTACCTATACAACATTGCCTTATATATAAAATAATAAAAAAAAACATATTTTTTTTTCGTGTTTAATGCTATTTCAAAATTTAGAAATTTGTCGCGATTGGATATGGAATAATTTTTATTTTCCTTTGCGTGAAACATTTTTTTTTTTTTTAATGGCTTCCCAACTATATGGAGATGTGAATATAATGATAGATATATGTAGATTAGTAAGTTATAAAAGCAAACAAATACGGTTGGCTATGCAATATAGATCACCAAACCTCAAGAGTTAGGTTTGATGCCATAATCTTTTTAGTCCCCACCTAATATAGCTCACACAAATTTAATTTCCTTGACTTCAAACATTCATGAGTCATGACAATGTCAATTTCAAAACATGCCATGTAGTGTGACTTGTAGATTCTACTTTGACTTCAAAGATCATGACCCATTAGTTTCCCCAAAATTTATTTTACCTTTTTTGTCGAATTATTATTATTATTATTATTATTATTATTTTTGGCGCAGCTACTCAAGAAGAAGCCGCGACTGCATATGACATGGCAGCCGTGAAGTATCGTGGGCCAAATGCAGTCACTAATTTTGACCTAAGCCGTTATGCCGCGTGGCTCGAGCCTCTCCAAGATAACAACAACAACAACAACAACGTTATAACCTCAGAGGCCAATATCGACATTAACGACACCACACAAAATCCTGGTCAAGATGTGGGGTTGACTTTCTTTAGCGACCAGTCAGAAAGTCCAACCGTAACCGAAAACACTGCCCCGTCACCAAATTTCATAGATGGTGATGCCACATCATCGTCCCTCGGCATTTTTATAAAATCCTCGAGGTTTAAGGAGATTATGGACCAAACCTCGGTTTCTGATAAGAGCCCGTCTAGCAACTCTGAGCCCGAACCCGAACTTGAGCCCGAGACTGGGGCTATAAGGAGTAGTTTCCCGGATGATATTCAAACATCGTTCGATTTTCAAGATTCGAGCAGCTTTGCAGACGAGCACGACATTATCTTTGGTAACTATGATTCTTTTGTGTCGTCTGTATTAGAATATGAGATCGACGCTTGATTAGTTATCAAAGTGTTTTGGACTTAAATTTTAAGTACTAAAAATACAGAAAAAAAAAATAATACTAATAAAAAAATAAAAGCAAGACACTAATAATGTAGGGGAGATTGATTTAATTTTATTTCATTGGTTTTTTTTCCCTTCATTGGTTTTTTTCCCTTAATGGTGTTTGAAGGGTCCCAAATTAGGTCATAAATGGGTGGATGAGTGGATGGGGAGTTGCCAATACTAAGTATTGAAGAAAATTTATGCTCTTGTTTGGTTATTAGTAGATATAGGTGGTTGCATAGACATTGATTCATTTTTGTTGTTGGACATTTTATTGAAACGATGCTCGTACGATTAATATTTATTGTTATTCTTATATATTTGAGATCTAGATTTGAAAAAATTTTCAGATAATATTTTATTTGCCCGGGTTAATTAGTTTAGTTTAAAATACTGGTCGATGTTGCGTTTTTCAGTTCANAACTCAGTGTTTTATCTGAGATTCCAACTTTTGGATTCAAAGTTCAAACATAACATGTAAAATATTCAGAGTGAGTCATCTGTAGGATCTAAAGGTTCAGCTTCAGATTGAACCAAAATCTGATTTGATATTGTTATTTATGTTGTCGCCACATGAAGTGGTATCACTCATTGGGACAATATTTGGATATGAGCGACAGCTCATTTCAAACATCCACGACGAGCGGTCCCCCGGCGTTTCAGTACTTCGAGTATTAAAATAAGTGGATCCTTTTGAGACAATTAAAATAAAAATATAATAATAAAAAAAAAACAAGATCAGATGTAAGAATATATACACGAGGATGGGTTCACGTGAGAGAATAATAGTTCGTGAAATAAGAATAAATCATAGTCATCAGATTAAATGATTCAATGGCAAAAAAAGTCAATTTCTTACAATTATTAAGGATAATTTAAATATGTCACACACATCAGTGAGCCCCACCCCACATATCCCATGTCTCACTTGGATTCTCTCTCTCTCTCTCTCTCTCTCTCTCTCTCTC